ATGAATTGTGCATTGAGGAGATGTTGATTACTACTCTAGCAATAAGATCAGATTATCAATTCTAGAATATTAATCTTTGGTAAATCAATTAATTTTCTTGACATTTTTTATTTTTTGAAAAAAATACAAGATATTATTTGTTTCATTAATAGTAATAAATACACACATTTTATTATCAATAATACACGTAACAAGTTAAACAAGAAGTAAACTAATTTTAGTTTCTTATAGTAAGTTGAAAAGTTACTTGTTCAAAATACATAGTTGAAATGGCAATTACTAGTCACAACATCTACAGAAGATTAGTATTTTAGGATTAGATTTGTATTATTGTGAAATCCAAAAGTAAGTCAAAATATTTCAGCAGTATGATTAGATTAGGTAAACAGGTAAGATAATAGGAAGTTCACCTTTTTAAATTTTGCTCTGATTGAAAAAAGTCTTGTCAGTCTGGTATTAACGTGCTGTTCTATGTGTTTTCAGAGGCACATGCGACGGAGTTTTATCAATGATAAGAACTCTGGAGAGCTTGCTTTGGAATAAATAATTGAATGGGGCGTGACTGCTGGTCTCTGTCCCCGTGCAACAAGCTAACGTAACGCTGTGCCTCGGCCCACCGTGCCACTTGAAAAACACACTCTCACTCTGTACCTGCGACGGTCCAAAGTATGGAAGCATAGTGTTAGGGCATCTAGCATACGAGGACTACCGAACAGGATAGATATTTTACCGCTTCTCTTAGATTAAAAGGCTAGGGATGGCATCGCATTGTTTTGCAGTGGTTGTGAAATTACATTCTCCAGTAAATCTTTAAAAAGCACTTCCACCTCCATTGACCGTTTAGCGAATATTTACCATAAGGCGTTCCAATTGATTGTTAGACTTTCATAAAAATTGTAAACTCTCAACATTGCAAAACAAATGTTGATGTTAGTTGTGCAATGGAATGCATGTGGGGTTGATCGGAAAGTGCACATGGTGCTCGTCCAATGTTCCAACCTCATCGAAGCAATGCGCAAGGACCAAATTTTGAAAGACCAGCACAGATCCATACTTTGGTGCGGGAGAGAAGGGTGTGAAGTTACTATGAGTAAATATACAGCTCGCTAACGCATAATGCGAGAATTCCATGAGAACCATCTGAGCTCTGATTCCTCTACATTTCCAAAAATGTATTTACGTTTCCAGCTTTTGGCAATAACAGGTAAATAATATAAAAACTTGCTCTTTGTGGTCAATCCATTTGTACACTTCATGTGAAGATTGTAGATGGAATCGAAAGTTCAGTGAACATGTGAAATACATTAAAGTTATTTTCTTCCAATTTTTTTGTAATTGTAATTGCACTGTGCTTTTTCATTCCACCTATGTTACACATGCTAGAATCCCTAACGCTTTAACAATTTCGCTTTGTAAGTTAATTGAACCACAAAGACACAAAGAGTTTTTAATTACCATGATTATAATTTCTAATATTGTACAGATGTGGAAGATGTTAAATTTGTGATAAATTTGGACTACCCGTCAAATTCTGAGGACTATGTACACCGTATCGGCCGTACGGGACGTTCACAGCGTACGGGAACCGCGTACGCGTTTTTCACACCTGGAAACGCGCACAAGGCTGGTGACTTAATTCAAGTTTTAGAAGAAGCAAAACAAGTCGTAAACCCTAAGCTTTACGAGCTCTCAAGAAACCCAGGAATTTATAAAAGTACGTCCTTAAATAAATTGTATTTAATAAAGTACGCTTTTTTCATTCAATATGTTGTAATATTTCTCTTCGCAGGAGGTCGTTATGGTGGACGCAGTGGAGGTGGCGGTGGACGTGGTTCTGGAGGCCGTGGTGGTGGTCCTCGAGGATCTCGTGGTGGTCGTGATGGAGGAGACAGGGGAGGCAGATTTGATCGTTCCAGTGGTGGCGGCGGTAGTGGCGGAGATAGAGGAAAATGGAATGGAAATACTAGCAGTAAGACTTCGCATAATAGCATTTCCATGAAAATGATTAATTTTGTAAATTAGAATGTCCCTAAATATTACTTATCTTTTTTTCAGGCGGTATGGGAGGTGGCAATTATAGTAGCAAACCATTTTCCCAAAACAGTTATGGCGGAGTTTCAGGCGGTGGATCTAGCAGTTATCAAAATGGCAGTGGTGGATACGGCGGAAGTGGAGGAGGTGGTGGTGGTGGAAGCAACTATAGACAACAAAATGGTTATTAACTTCAAAATAATGAACTTCAAAAGAGTTTTATGTAATATAGTAAAAATAAGAAAAGAAAGGAGAATGATTCTATTCGCGAACGAGAAACATAGTTTCCGAGTAATGTGCTTTTTGCTGGAACTGGACACAAAGCAAATTAGAATAAATGCGATAATATCGCTGTTGAAAACCAGGACGTTTCATATTAGGATGTCCCAGTTGTGTCGAGTCAAGGACACCTAGCATTCTCTTCTTTTTCTAAGTAAAAATAAATGTAAGTGTAATAATAGAAGGTAAAGCTTTGATAAAACCTTCGATTTATGACGTCAGTTGCGATTACTAGTTTCTTTGCAATACTACGTACAAGTCTATTCTTTATGAGTTTGAATGTACATTGAAACAAGAAAGAAGTTTGTGAAATCTAAATGCAAGATGCAGCAGTATTTATTTCCTGAAATAAATATTTTTTATTTTTATAATTTATAATTTCCCATAAGTAAGGAAATTCAACTTTTGCAAGAAAATAAGTACATGACTTTTGGTAGCTTATTTCGTGGCTATCCTCTTAAAATTTAACTAGCAAGGAATATCATTCAAGTGATAATTTACGATTTGATGATGCATGGATTAGCTGTATTACTTAAAAGCGTACAATGCACTACACTGTAGTTAATTTAAAAGCGCATGAAATCTCAGTGCACCATAGTATTAGAAATTTAATAAAACAATACATAAGTATGAGATATAAACAATTTCATTACAATATTTTACTTTTCTCTCATGGGAGCTAAATACTTTGTTTATCAAATTTCTAACGCACGTAAGAATGTGTACGTCGCTTTAACACAATAAGTTCTAAACTACATAACTTATATACGTAAATTTCATAAAACCTAGTACATTTAAGTAAGGATATAATAAATAAGATAAATAAGATAATGTAAAAGAAATATTTTTCTTATGAAATTACTTTAAATATTATACCTTTGTTATTATCAGTGATACATGATATGATACTGTTTATGTAATATAAGTAACTTGTCATAATGCCGAAACAAATAATCAATGCCGTGCTTCACGGAAAAGTACCTTATTTATTTTGTGTGCAGCATTCTTCAGAAGTCATGCGATTAGGTCAATGTTATTGATTCATTCCAATATATAGTCGTTCTGTATAACTACATTTCTGCGATATTATTAGAATTCTCACGACTACTTGTGTCAATCAAATTGTTTTTGAGATAGGGAAATTCACACCATAATATCAATTGTCATTCATTGCGATATTCAACATATAATGCAATAATGTGTATATTTTTCAGTGACTATAATATCCACGTGAGTAGATATATCGACATTAATGAATAAATCGAATCTATTAAGTCAAAATGTAGGAACAAAGTATTATTGTCTCATTGATACAATAAACATTGTAGAGTCAAAATCATCATAATATTTTTATATTGTACAATGGTCAATGAATAATAAAGTATTCCACTTTTAATTGTACTAATATCGCATTGTACTATTACGTAATATTGCTTACTAGATAGCATGCATTTGTGAAATTGAATGTATGTGTATAGTATAATCGATTAAAATTTGTATTTGATGAATAAAGAGAAGTCTGTGAATAATTGACATTTTATTTAAAAGTTCTTGTCCTTGCATTCAATTTATTTGATCTACTAAATAATTATTCAAGTAAAGCATTATCATTCTAATGTTATACACAGCTTTAAAAATGTTCAAAGTCCGTTTGAAAAACCGTCTCGTGTATACCTCTACAGGGTGTTCCAAAAATCTTGAATCTTTCTAAGCAGATTCCTAAGGCAATTTGAAATAATTTCCCTTAGCGAAAATGTTCTCCATTGTTCAAGATCAAGTGACATACATTTTCGAGTAGTAAGTGGATTTCTAACTAAATGGATGAGTTTCTTATTAATTTTCTATTAATTACTGACTTGCAGAAGCCACGAATTTGTCGTAAAGCTAACACTACGCTAGGTATAACGCGTCGTCACGCCACAATTCGTAGGCAGCACTTGCTTTCTAATAACTTGTTAATAAAGCCGCTGAGAACAATTTCGCTAAAGAAAAAGTTGAATTATTGCTATCAACAGCTTGCAATATTTTTCAGACACCCTTTATTAAAATGTGAACGTAAAAAATAGAAGTGGAGGGGGATATGGGTTGATCAAAATTGCGTGACGCGCGAATCGACGCGCGCAGTTCGTTTCAAGCACTCCGGTGGGCGTAGTGTACTTCTTGGTTATACGCTCTTCTTCGCAAAAGGACAGTTTTTTTTATCTATTGTACGATATCAGTAATTCTTTCATCATGACAGAAAATCGCAAAGAAGTGAGAGTATGGTGTGACGGATGGTAAGTTTCCATCAAGTTAATTCCGTTGTCTTTATTACTTGAAACATTCGCGTGCTTTTTAAAATTGTTGGATGACTGTGTCAATCCTTGACAATAAAATAGGAATTACACGGTATACGCTATGCTTATACGTATAAATCAATGCGTGTAGCTATTCCGATGGTGCTTTGATTTCCACGTAGCCTATGTTCATACATTTTAATTAAGTTCGAGATATCTTTTTCACATTTTTATTTCTGTTTAATTTTGTCTCGTACGATCGCGAATTCAAAAATGTATTTAACAATATTTTGCTGTCACGAGCTATCGACACTAGCGAATCTTATCTCCTTGTAACTGCATACGATGAAGTAATTGCCGGCGCAAATTGGTGTCAATCGTGAGCATAATGTCAGCTATGAAGTTTTAGAAGTTATTGCTTTTCTAACACAGTTATGACATGGTACACTTCGGCCACGCAAATTCTCTGCGCCAAGCGAAGGCATTAGGTGATTATTTAGTTGTGGGTATACATACTGATGAAGAAATTGCTAAGCATAAGGGGCCACCAGTGTTTATGGAAGAGGAAAGGTATGCTTTTTATTAAAAAGAAAATTTTGAATTTGAATACCAGAGTCTTTTTTTTCCATTGTTTCACATTTGTTCCAAGTAGTATTGCAAATAAATCATTAAATGCTTTTATAGTGATTATGGAAGTTTTCATTTGTTTTGTAATATAATGTTTTTGTGTCAGGTATAAAATGGTTCGTGGTATTAAATGGGTAGATGAAGTTGTAGAAGGTGCACCTTATGTTACAACATTGGAGACATTAGATAAATATAATTGTGATTTTTGTGTACACGGAGATGACATTACTATGACAGCAGATGGTATAGATACATACCATTTGGTCAAAGCAGCAGGTCGTTACAGGTACATATTAAATGATAAATTATTGTAAAGTTGCTCGTATTATATAGTAATAAATTATGGAATGTAATTTCTAAAATTTCACATCATTATTATAGAGAAGTTCAAAGAACTGCTGGTATTTCAACAACTGATCTAGTAGGACGTATGCTGTTAATGACGCGGCAGCATTTTAAACAAGGAGATAGTGAATATAGCGTTGATAGAGAACCTAGTAAAAGAATGGGGCAAGATCGATCAGCTAGATGTCCATGGACAGGCTGTTCACAATTTTTACCTACTACACAGAAGATTATTCAGTTTAGCGATGGAAAGAGTCCACAACCTGGAGACAAAATTGTTTATGTAGCAGGAGCATTTGATCTCTTTCACGTTGGTCACTTAGATTTCTTAGAAGTCGCTAAGAAAGAAGGTGATTATCTCATAGCTGGATTACATACAGATCCAGTAGTTAATCGTTACAAAGGTGGTAATCATCCAATTATGAATCTTCATGAAAGAGTACTTAGTGTTCTAGCATGCAAGGTAAAGAAATGAAATGTCACTTGGAAAGTTTAATCAAAGGCTTATTGGATCAGAGTGTATTTAATATTTATTATTTTCTCAATTCATAGTATGTTAATGAAGTAGTAATTGGTGCACCATATGAAGTTACAAAAGATCTTATGGAACATTTTGATGTTTCTGTCGTTTGCCATGGTCAGACTCCTATAATGCCTTGTGAAGATGGTACAGATCCATATGCTGAGCCTAAGCAGCAAAATAGATTTAAATTGTTGGATAGTGGTAATGATATGACAACAGAAAAAATGGTTGAACGCATTATACTTCACAGGTAGATCAGTTTTATGTATTTCATCTTGTGCATGATTTAAAATATTTCACCAACCAATATCGGTATATGTTTTCTTTAGTTCAAAATTGAAGATATATGCTGTGTGGAAATATATCATCGATTAAACTGTTAGTTCTAAAATTTTTGAGATACTAGGAAGTTTCATAATTTGTTAAGTGTATTTTATACCTGTAGATAAATAAAAATTCGTACACCAGTATCTTCCTATGGAAAAAGTTTTAGTGCATTTACGAATTTGAGATGAAAGAATATTTTAATAATGACAAACAAAGTAATTTGACTCTTTTTAGAAATTATATTTTAATTCTTCATTTGTTTTAAATTATTACAGTTGAAAACAAATATCATTGTTGTATTCAATAATTAAAAGAAAAAAGAAGAGGTG